ATAATATTGAAATCCATATTCAACTAGTCCTAGATGCCATGGATTTACAGATTGTCAGGGATCCGGGTATGACCAGAGATGTGTGGACTGACACAGGGAAACGCAGACTTCAAGTAAGGTGTAAACAATATCATTTATTAAAGGCTATACAATACACAAACGTAGTACAAACAAACCAAACCTAAACTAATATAAATATGTATAGAGCACAAACGTAGTCAGGCAGGCCAGGTTGGTAGCTAACGGGCAGACAAGGTACAAAGGAGCAGGCAGAAGAGTGGTCAGGAATAGCCGGTGTTGGTACGGGCAGAGTTCAAGCAGTGTCAGAGTCCAGCAGGCAGGAGGCAGGATACAGGGCACAAGGGAGCAATACACCAAGGCACTGATTGCAGGCCTGGTCCTGCTTTAATACACCTCCTGCAATCAGCCTCAGGTGATGGCCTGATTGCAGGAGTGAGACACTTGCTGCTGAGAGCACCCACTGGCCAGCACTGGTACTGCAGCCCACAAGGCAGGTAAGCCCCAGCACTACCAGAGATAAGACCATTCCTGACACAGATCTTCAACTGAGAAAATCCAACAATGCAAATTACTGCCAAATCATTAGTAATTCTGTTTTTTTTATGTATAGTCCTGAAAGAGGTTCTTATGGTTCCATGCATGCTATTGCTGTACAGTTTGTTCTTAGCAATGTGGCAAAGGGCATCTTTCAGCAACACTGGGAATCCTGTGAATGAATGGCCTGTGAAGAATCATGATTTGGCCAACATTTATGATCTAACATCAAGGCGGAATGGCATGACAGGCACAAAGAGGCATTCTTTGGAAACAAAGCAATCAGGCAAGTAAAAAAAACTGAGCATGGTTTCCTTGGTCATTACCCTAAGCAGGAACACTGACAAAACTGGAGCTCTCCCATTTAGTTGAAAAGATAAAAAGACGACTTGAAAATGTTAACCTATACATTGCCGACCAACCATCCACTAATATCTATAGCCAGATTCAATTTGGTCCATTGTTCCCAGTTCTTACTCTCAAATAATGAATTTCAGTTTAGCTTATCTATGATAAACATTTGTTGGGGAACATTGACTGAAACTTGAAAGACCAAACCCTACCAGAGGGTATTGCAAAGTAAATTTTCACTTAGCCTAGTAAATACAATGTAACAAATTTAATTCTGAATACCCAATCATCCGCAAGGGAAAAAAAAAAAACAGTTTTTTTTTGCTTGCGTGTGAATGGATGGTTGAGCCAACACAGCTTCATCTGATTTACTGAAGTACAATAATACTCACTAAGGACTGCTAAGGATTTGTGCATACCACATGCTTTGAGCTGCACTGGTCAGCGCAGACCCAACACATGAAGTTCATACCAACTTCAGCGCTGGAAGTTTTTCCCCCTTTCCTGACCAGGCCATTTTTTGGTATTCAGTACTACACTATTTCAGCTAGTATTTGCGTGGTCATGCAATGCTGTACCCAAAAAAATGTATGTCCTTTTTTTCACACAAATAGAGCTTTCTTTTGGTAGTATTTGATCACCATTCGTTTTTTTATTTTTGTGATATAAACTAAAAAAGTCAGAAAAATTTGAAAAAACAAATATTTTCTACTTATGGTTATAAAAAATATACAATAAACTCCAAGTTAGTCAGAAATGTAAGCCAAAATGTAATCTGCTACATGTCTTTGTTAAAAAAAATCCCAATAATGTATATCAATTGGTTTGTGTGAAAGTTATAGCGTCTACAAACGATGGTATATATATTGGAATTTACACAGCTTTTACTTTCTGACTGCCTATTACATTTCTTGAGATGCTAAAATGCCAGGACAGTACTAAAATGCCTCAAATGACCTCTTTTTGGAAAGTAGACACCTCAATAAATTTTCCGAGAGGCATGTTGAGTCCATGAAAAATTTCATTTTTTACCATAAATTATTGGAAAATTACAACTTTTTTTACACAAAGTTGTCAGTTAAATTATATGTTGCTCATGCATGCCTTGGGTATTTGTGGAGTAACACCCCAGAACACATTCTGCTACTTCTCTGAGTATGGGGATATGACATGTGAAAGACTTTTTGGCAGCCTAGCCACATACAGGCCCCCTAAATCCAAGGACCATCTCCAGGCTTTCAAAGGGCATTTTTCCTCATGTCACTTCTTCACTACCTTTCACAGTTTCGGAGGCTCTAAAATGCCAGGATAGTGCAAACACCCCCCCCCCCCAAATGACCTCTTTTTGGAGAGAAGACACCCCAAGGAATTTGATAAGAGGCATGGTAAGTATTTTTCAGATACCATCTTTTGTCACAGGGTTATGAAAAAGAAAAAAAGAAAAGAAAAATACATTTTTGTTTTCTTTCTTTATTTTCCAAAAACTTGTGGCAACCCATGAGATCTGCAAAATACTCACCATGCTTCTTAGCAAATACCTAGGAGTGTCTACTATCCAAAAGGGGTCATTTGTGGGGGGGGTGCTTCTACTATCCTGGCATTTCAGGGCCAACATTATAATCCTATTCCAGACATTACCCTTCTAACCACTTGAAGACCAAGCCTTTTTTGACACTTTTTGTTTACAGGAAAAACATTTTTTTTTGCTAGAAAATTACTTTGAACACTCAAACATTATATATTTTTTAAAAGAAGAGGCCTACAAAATAAAACGGTGGGTGTTGCAATTTTTTATGTCACACAGTATTTATGCAGATTTTCCAAATGCAAATTGTTTTGAAAAATACACTTTGTGAATTTTAATGCACAAAAACACAATATATTTCCCAATTGAAAAAAATATAAAAAATATAAAAGATGGTGTTACACCAAGTAAATAGATACCAAACAGGACATGCCCTTTAAATCCCGCATGCCAGGACAACGACAACAAACTACGCACATTTTTAATATCCATAGGCAATGCTTTAAAAGCCTCCACAGGTTACCACTTTAGATTTGCACGGAAGGTCTAGTTCTAGAATTACTGCCCTCAATCTGATGTTTGTGGTGATACCTCACATGCATGGTGCAATCTCTGTTTACATACTAACATTGGACCGATGTCTGCATTTGCCTTTACGTGCGAACACAGGGATTTTTTTTTTACACTGTCCCTTTAATTTTTTTATCACTTTTATTGTTATCACAGGGAATGTAAATATCCCCTGTGATAGCAATAGGCAGTGACTCTTTTCTGGGAAATCTGGGGTCTATTAGACTCTAGATCTCTCCTCTGCCCTTAAAGCATCTGATCTCACCAAGATCGGTGTGATCAGATACTTTCCCAATTTTAAAATGGCTCTGTTTATATCCAGCAAACCTGAAATGATGAAATGCTTGTTGTTTCCAGTTTCTTAGACCATACAGATGATTGGAACCATTCTAGTCTTCGATCATCTGTATGGTCAGCTGAAGGAACCGCCGGCTGCCTTCTTGGGTTCTTTGGTAGGACGGGAGAGTCTGAGAAAGCTATGGAAGGAAGCAGGAGGGGAGGTCGTCTCTTCCCACTGCTTGTAAAAGAGATCCAGCAGCTAATTAGCTGATAGGATTGATTTTACATGAAAGCCAACCACCAGCTGAAAACAACAATACCAGGATGATGCCTGTAGTTGCAGACATCATCCTGGTATAACCACGCAAAGTCCAGCGACATGCCAGTATGTTGCTGGTCCATGTTGGGCATATATGTAACAGCAGAGAACACGGGCATATGATGAATTGGGTCTGTGGACCAATATGACGACAATTCATTCTTTTTTGTAATGCCCATGTCGAGGGTTAGGCCGAAAAAAGTTTTACATTCAGAAAACCGTGATAGGTTTCCATGTGAATTGTCTGACAAGAGCTGAATTTGGGTGAGTGGCCATGTATTGTTGTGCATATAAATTGCCTTGGCCCACAATGAATTCATACAAATCTTCAGTGAAAACAGTGAAGGGGCTGAACTCTAGGGCTGACAGTGAACAGGGCTAATCTTGCTAACACTGATCACCAGGTCCAGATTACCGGAACCTGCATTCCACTGTGTTTGGTGGACAAAGTGGTCACGTGTGGAGGGGGGTGCTCTGTATGTGTTGGTACAGTCAGAGTGACGTACCAGTACGCCGCTATGCCTGTAGCTGCCGCCCGTCCGCAGTATAATGCGGGCGGGCAGACAGTAAGTGTTTAAATAAAAATTAATTGTTTATTAATTCAAAATTCATAAGCATTTGTTCATTTCAGTAAAAGATACTGAAAGAGAAAACTGCAGCTACGTTTTGTAAATCATTGCCAGTTATCGCAATCGATTAATTTCAGTTGTTGCCACCAATGGCCAGGTAGGACAGCTTATTTTCCTTAATGAATAAAATCATCATTTAAAAACTACGATTTGTATTTATTTGGGTTAATTTTGTGTAATGTTAAAATTCGTTTGATGATCTGAACCATTTAAACTTGAAAAACATGCGAAAAAATAAAAAAATCAGGAAGGGGCAAATACATTTGCACAGCACTGTAAATGATTTTTAAAAACATTTTTTTTATTATATATATTCCTTAACATTTTTTTAAATTTATTTAATTAATGTAATTTTTTTCAGAAAGTTAATGGAAAACCAAACATTTCTGAAAGATTTCCACTTGTTACCATTTTCTATTGAATCTGAATATACATCATTAATTATTGGTCTGTATTTAATTTTGTATTTGACTGGAGTATTTGTCAATTCCTTCATAATGGTTCTTATATTTATTTCCAGTGATTTGCACACCCCCATGTACATGTTCCTCTGCAGCTTGTCCTTCACTGACATTAGCTACACTACAGTCATAGCCCCCAAACATCTGGACATATTAACGTCCGGGGATAACTCTATATCCTTCAACCAATGCTTCACACAAATGTACTTCTATACATTAGTTGGCATCACAGAAAACATGGTCATACTTGCAATGGCCTTTGACCGTTACGTGGCTATTTGTAACCCTTTACGATATCACTCTATATTAAGACCCAAAAACTGCATCTCTATCGTCACAGGGATTTGGATTTCGGGATGTCTAAATTCATTGGTAATCACAGTTGCATTATCATACGTGTCCTTTCGCATTTCACAGACTATTCACCAGTTTTTCTGTGATGGGAAAGCTTTGATTGACATCGCTTATGCTGGTGTACGTGAATTTTATATAGTCATCTATATAGAGACATTTTTCTTCAGCTTCTGTCCATGCTTTTGCAGTTTGATATCGTATGTAAACATCATCAAGGTCATTCTTCAAATTAAATCTAAGGAAGGGCGTAAGAAAGCCTTCTCCACCTGCTCTTCGCACCTCATTGTCATCATCGTGTATTATACTACAGCTATGTTAGTGTACGTGATGCCACGAAACTATGATAGCCTACAGCAAGTCTGTCTGGTGCTCTTCACTGCTGTTACCCCCATGGTAAACCCTCTCATATACAGTCTGCGAAATAACGATGTCAAATCGGCACTTCTGAGACTTCTGAGACTGGCACCTAAAATGTATTTCCAAGCTTGAAAGGATTTTATAAAACAGTCTCAAAATAAATGCCATGTGGACCGCGCATAAGTTGTGCAAACAATAAGAAATGATGACACTCAAAAATAATCAATAATCATAAGTAATATACAATAAACATGTAATTAAACTGGTTGTATTAGGTATGCAGTTCCAAAATGTGAAAATAGGGTGCAAGCGTGCTAAGTTCTTGATTGTGAACTCCGTATTTAAAGTGACAGGTGCTCCACTGTGCTCAGACCGGTACCTCACATGGATCTGCACTCACCGTCATCCCATGACTATCCCACTGTTCAACGTGATGTTGGTGACCAATGTTCTTCCACAGCATTGCTAATAGTAACCAATATATCTTCCCATGGATTAAATAGCATTGTGGATGGTAACCAGTAATCCTTCTCAGATGCTAAATTAATCACAGGAATCTTCCTCTCCTCCACAGGCAATTTAGCAAATTGTCAGCATGGAAATAGGAGCAAAAATGGACTTCCCATAATGTAAAACTGTAAAACCTTTAATATCGGGGACAAATAGTAAAAATGCAACTCACCAAAAAAGTGCCTATGACTTGGCACTGAGTGTATTCAGCTTTGTTACTTGTGAATGGAATCAAAGATGGCCACTACGTTCCACCATGCATTCCAAAGGGCGAAAGTGACGGCGGAAGTTAAAATGATTTTTTTTAAATATATTCTTCAGATTTTTTTAGCATATAAAAAAGTCATTTTAACATATTTTTACATTGATTTATAAATGCATCCCAAAAATGTAGATTTTTATTTTTAAAGACATACAGTATAATTGAAATGTATTTTTACTTGAGGTGATTGTAGCCGTACTAGTGCACTTGCGACAGAAACAATTCAGTACTGTCTGTGATACTTTTTTCATTTGCACGCACATACAATTTTGAGGACAAGCTTTCGGGGAGTGTCCCTTTCTTCAAGGTCCAAGCAGTACTGTTACAACGTTTTAGTAGAATGTTAGAAGATATGTGGGGATTGAGAAAAAAAAAAAGGCAGAAAGAAACACAAGCCTAAGGTTAGCCTAGAGATAAGAACAGCAAAGCAAAAGCAAAGACTGGGGGGGGGGGGAGGGGAACAACACTCACAGAGGGAGTCATAAATATGTTGGATAATGAGTGAGGAATCCCATGTCCAAGTTAAGACCCTTATCTCTTGTGTCAAATAGAATTATCATTCTTAGTTCAAAAGTTTTTCTTTCCTGAATGGATTTGAAATTTCCTTTAAGAACTAAAACATTGAGGTCTTCCATAGTGTGGTCTGGTTGTGCGAAATGGTGTCCCACAGGTGTGCAGAGGTCATCTTCTTTATGTTCCTTGATGGTATGTCTGTGCAGATTCATCCTTGTTTGCAACTTCTGTCCTGTTCGCCAACATAAGATCCTTTGCTGCATTTTCTGCACTGGATAAGGTACACAACATTACTGGAGGTGCAGCTGTATGATCCGGAGATATTGAAGATCCCTTTTGAGTGTCTGAGACTTTTTGATGGATTGATTTGGTTGCAGAGTTTGCAGCGTTTCTTATTGCAGGGTGTGCTTCCATTATTTGTGACATTTTGATCAGAAGGAAGTTTCCTACTGATTAGTTTATTTCTGAGGTTGGGGGGTTGTCTGAAGGCCAGTATTGGGGGTTGCTGGAATATTTTTTTCAGAGTTCCATCCTCTGTTATGATGGGTTGTAAATCTTTGATTATTTTTCTTATTCCTTCTAGTGTTGGGTTGTATGTGGTGACTAGAGGTACACGGTTGTTTGTTTTTTTCTCTTTGTACTGAAGTAGATTTTCCCTTCGGGTTCTCAAGGCTGTGTTTATGCTGGTGTTGATAGTTTTGTCCTTGTAACCCTTCTAATAGAAGGAGTCTGCTAGTGTCCCGAGATGTTTATCTCTGTCTCTTGGGTCAGAACATATTCGGTGGTATCTGATGACCTGACTGTGTATGATGGCACGTTTCGTGTGTTGGGGGTGGAAGCTAGAACTGTGGAGGTAGTTGCATCTGTCAGTGGGTTTCCTGTATATTGAGGTGTGAAGGGTATCATCCCTGATGTATACTGTGGTGTCTAGGAAGGTGACATGTGTGTTTGAGTATTCCATTGTTGGTTTTATTGATGGATGAAAAGTGTTGATCAATGAGTAAAATTGTTTTAGGTTTTCTTCACCTTCTGTCCATATGATGAAAATATCATCAATATAGCGATAGTATCTGTATGGTTTTTGTTCCATGCTGTTCAGGAATTGTTCCTCCAGGTCAGCCATAAATAAATTGGCATGTTGGGGTGCCATTTTACTTCCCATCGCAGTGCCCATACATTGAAGATAGATGTCTTTATTGAAGGCAAAGTAGTTGTGTGTAAGTATGAATTCAATGAGCTGTGTAACATCCTCAGCAGTGTATTTGTTGTTTGGCGAGGATGATAAGGATCTGTGACATGCAGCTAATCCATCCTTGTGAGGGATATAACTATACAGGGATACTACATCCATAGTCACTAGTGCTTCTGGCCTTCTTGTGTGTATTTGTTTGTATCCATCACAACAACTGCTCCCCTTTTATCCGCTGGTTTGATGGTGATGGCCTAATTATTGCGCAAATCGTGTATAGCCCTTCGCTCTAGTGGTGAAAGATTGTACAGAATTTTCTTTTGCTGGGTGGATATCAGGGATGTAGCTCGCAGTCTGAAGCTTATCAATATAGGTGTCCAGTTTGGGGTTGCGTCCTTGTGGGGGTGTGAAGCAGCTGTTCTTTTTCTTTGTGTAGCACTCCATTGTCCTAGGATTCCTTTCATTATTGTGGAAATATTCTTTGAGCCTTAGTCTCCTGAAGAAATCCTCCATATCTGACAATACTTGTAAATGATCCAATTTGGTGGTTGGGCAGAATGTAAAGCCTTTGGAGAGGATGGTTAATTCTGGTTCAGAAAGTTTATGATTTGACAAGTTGATGATTCCAAGTTCCTCTGTTATATCCACATTTTTCAGTTAGGTCAGCACTTACACAAGGGATACCTTGGGATTCTGGATTGAATTCCAGGTCACTGATAGTAGTTCTTTTAGTTCTTAAAGGAAATTTCAAATCCATTCAGGAAAGAAAAAACTTTTGAACTAAGAATGATAATTCTATTTGACACAAGAGATAATGGCTTTAATTTGGACATGGGATTCCTCACTCATTATCCAACATATTTATGACTCCCTCTGTGAGTGCTGTTCCCCACCCCCACCCCCCCCCAGTCTTTGCTTTTGCTTTGCTGTTCTTATCTCTAGGCAAACCTTAGGCTTGTGTTTCTTTCTGCCTTTTTTTTTTTTCTCAATCCCCACATATCTTCTAACATTCTGCTAAAACTTTGTAACAGTACTGCTTGGACCTTGAAGAAGGGGACACTCCCCGAAAGCTTGTCCTCAAAATTGTATGTTAGTGCAAATAAAAAAAGTATCACGGACAGTACTGAAATGTATTTTTAAAAAAATATTTTTCATATATCTTGTAATAAAAATGCATGTCAACTTGCAGTATATATATATATATATATATATATATATATATATATATAAATATATTTTGAAATATATTGAATATGGCCAACATTGTAGCATTTAAAATATATGTCAATATTTTTGGGAAGAATATTTTTAAAATATATTTATATTTTATTTTATTACGGTCTTGTTGTAAAGTTTCTTTCTCCTGCTGTGAAGCTATTGCCCTACTTAGCTTTGTATAATCAACAAACATTGAGATTAAGCTATTTATACCAACCTCTTTATCATTTATGAATAAATTAAAAAGAATTTGTCCCAATGCAGAGTCCTGGGGTACCCCACTTACCACTCCAGACCAGTCTGGGTACACGCTATTAATCACCTCCAATTTTGATGCGCCCCTGTAACCAATTTTCTATCCATGTACAAACCTTATGGTCCATGCCTACAGACATCAGTTTGTAAATTAAGCGCTTATGGGGAATTGTATTCTTAATATATTCTTCCCAAATATATTGACATATATTTCAAATACTAAAATTTTGGCCATATTCAATATATTTAAAAAAGTTATTTCAATATATTTCTGAATATATTATAAAAAATATATTCAGAACACATGCTGAAATATGTAATACAGTCATGGCCGAAATTGTTGGCACCCTTGATATTTTTCCTGAAAATCAAGTATTTCACACAAAAAAGGTATTGCATTAACACATGTTTTGCTATACACATGTTTATTCCCTTTGTATGTATTGGAAACAAATATAAAACAGAGGCAGAAAAGCAAATATGACATAATGTCACACAAAACCCCAAAAATGGGCTGGACAAAAGTATTGGCACCCTTAACTTAATATTTGGTTGCACACCCTTTGGAAAACATAACTGAAATCAGTCGCTTCCTATAACCATCAATAAGCTTCTGACACCTCTCACCCGGAATTTTGGACCACTCTTCCTTTGCAAACAGCTCCAGGTCTCTCTTATTGGAAGGACACCTTTTCCCAACAGCAATTTTAAGATCTCTCCACAGGTGTTCAATGGGATTTAGATCTGGGCTCATTGCTGGCCACTTCAGAACTCTCCAGCGC